AGTAAGCTAGCATTTATACTACGTAACTTTAGGGTTCAATAGAAGGAAAGCCTGAGCTAAAGCAAATCTCCAGCAAATATCCTCATTGTGTTAAAACATAATCAACTCGCCAAAGTTCTCTCTATATATACTCATGCCAATAATGGTTGTCACCCCCTATAATTTTTTTAAATTGGAGAGGGGGTTTGGGGGGGGTGTGTGAGGTGTGTGTGGGGTTGGGGTGGGGAGGGTGGTGACAACCATTATTGGCATGAGTATATCTGAGTGCAAAATCCAGGGTCTTTAAGCAAACCTCTTTTAACATCCACCTACCCACGTATACCAGTTTGAAATAATATCCCCTGTACAAATCACGTGACAAAATGGGTTTTTTTTCAATTTTTTGCAACTGGATTAGATCAGTTTCCCTGTATTTGGAATATGAACAGCCGTTAAAACTCTCATCTCTCTCTTCTCAATAGTTTTGGTTCTTAATGAAATATTCAACCATTTTGTTACAGACAACTTTGCACTGGCTGTCTGACCTCCCTACCGGTTTAAAAGTCCTTCGCCAATCACTGTTCAAAATTACTTGCTCAGTTTACTGGCTAACTAAAACCAGCACTCATTAGTAAGACAGATTAGTAACTATTATTAGGGATCAAGGGTCTGGAACAATAATTAATTTAGTTCTAAGCTGTCTGTCCACAGTCTCTGAGTTTCCATTAAACCCCTACATTGTGCAACACAGTAGAACATATTTACAATGGGTATTAGAAACTTTAAAATGTTGATATTATAGGATATTTATAGAGAGCACATATCCACGCAACTAGTGCATGCTCAAGGTGCTGGTATTTTTTTCCCCTTGATCATTGGATGTCAATCTCAACGGCACATCGTATTATCAATCTCAACTCCCTGGGGAGTATACAACTCATGCATCCACTAGGCGCACTGAGTTATTGTGACTTTCTCATCCTAACAAGGTACCCATTCACAGCTGGGTGGACTGGGACACATAGTCACAGTACTTTGTCCAAGTTCACTGCACATTGCTGTATCCGCAACTGGGTGTTTGCTACGTATTATTGTGGCCACCATCTGGTCATATACCAACAGATGGGTTCTTTAAAGTGCCCAGGGTTGTGTACTGTACACTAGGGGTTGTGACAACATGGAATGAGACTGCACACAAAGTTGACTCCAAGGTTTTTACATCTGGTCACAGGTGGGCTCGATCAAGACACCTCAACCTCGCTGGATCACTAGCCTGGAGCTTAGCCAACTCACCCACCATTACTGTTTTTATCTTCATATCGAAAGCATAATGTTCTCTAAACAGGTAACTAAAGAATACAACACACTGATAATTTTCTAATTCCAGTGAAGAAAGTAGTGATACTCGTTAAAACAAGTAAATGTGTCCATTCCACTTTTGAACTGGATTTCAAAGCTCTATATACAATCTTCAAAGCCGCAAAAATTCTTTCTTGATATTTTCAGGAAGTATTTAAGGCCAGTGGAACATATAGTAAGTGGTTTCTCAAAACAAAAAGGATTTGCTTGATTCTTGCAATATCAGAACAGAACCAAGGTCAAATATGTCAAAGCATTTGATTTTCCAACATTGTAGAGCACCATTTCACAGGTCAAAAGTGAAGAATAACTTCAAGTGTTGATCCATGGGGCATTTGTCTCTAAATGTGTTGATGATACTGATAATGTCAAGCAATCGGATAAATATGTCAGCCAATCAGAGAACTGTGTCACTGAATACAGCCAATCAGAGGACAGTGCCACTGTATCAGCCAATAAGAGAACTGTGTCACTGAAAACAGCCAATCAGAGGACAGTGCCACTGTATCAGCCAATCAGAGGACCGTGCCACTGTATCAGCCAATCAGAAAACTGTGTCACTGAATACAGCCAATCAGAGGACAGTGCCACTGTATCCTGCAACCATGCTAACTGGTCCAAGAGGTCATGAACCTGGTGCCAAGAATGGTATCCAAAACACTGACAGGCAAATCAACTTGTTATTGGTTTGATCTCAGTAGTCACATGACCACAGTGTTCCAGGACAGGACCTGTCAAGGTTCTCGATGACAAAAACCAATAGTACTTTCATTAATGATATATATATTTAATATCATTACCTATATCTACCACTACGACTATAACTTTGATCTCAACTAGTTTGAACTTTCCTCATGCAGAATTTACAAGACACTGTGAGGTTTACAAAACTAGTTCAATCTTCATCTTGTACTTTTCATTGTTTTAAATAATGGTTGTCACATTTCTATTTCACAAAAGACTAGCATCAGTGTGAAATAGCGATAAAAAAGATGTTCTTCAAATGTTAACTCACACTGTCAATATACTCTGACCTATTGCTGCTTGTTGGCATATGATTAGGGGTGGGTATTGCAGAGAATTTTCATATTGCGATGCGAAAGCATATATTGCGATATGTATTGCAATATATTGCAAGAAGTTAATGCTTGATTTATAAAGCAAAAACACAACAAAAGCACTATTCTTGATTAAGCTTTAATAAAGACTTTTAATTTACTTTACCATTACATATTTTACGTACCACGTTACTCTTATCAATAGTTCCATCTACCGTGAACTTTTTCAACCCAAAATGCTGCCATACTGAAGCCTTTGCCCTTTTATTTGGCCCCACAATAAATTGTTCGTTGTTGGGGGTCGCAATTTTACAACAAACGCATGACTTCCGGTGTGAAAAACGGAAATATCCGAAGATTTCCAAAAGTTACGAAGTTTTCCGAATGCATGTAAAAATACCGGTTTTCGGTCAACGTATCGCAATACTATCGTTTTCATGTCTGAACCGGTATATACCGGTTAACCGGTTATATTGCGTAGCCCTACATATGATCATGTTCACTCCAATCCCTCAAAGACCCTTCAATGGTGATGCTGAGTACAAAGAGTTATAAAATGGTCATGCAGCAGTATGCATTCCTGTTGAATAGGTTAAACAGTACCATTCATACATAAACAAAATATGTAATTTATTTTGTCCCTCATTTTAAAAAATCAGACAAGACATGAAAAACTCTCAATAGATTTGATCTGCCTGTTGGTGTCCGATGCATTTAGAATTAAATCTGGATTTACTTTTACAATCAGTTTCTTATGTTAAAACCAGGCCCCAATTTCTCGAACAAACTTAAGTTTTTACTCAAATTTCAAACTGTTTGACAATTTGAAACAGCTGCATTTTTAAAATAAAAAAGCCCAAACAATTTAAGTATTCTATTCACCAAACTCAAATTGTTTACTATGTTTGAGTTTAATATCAATTTCAGTTGAACATGGGAATCAAAACTCAGACTTAAGTTTGTGTCGAGAAATCGGGGCCAGGAACATGAACTATATTTGCAATTTTGACTTGTGGCTTAACATGAATGTAACATCATCGTGGGTTACTGGGTTATCACCATTGTAATATAACACACCTTAAACTCTGTCTTGTACAGGTTTTATGGTACCCAAACTTTCTGTGTATCACACAATACATATTATGCATGTGACATACACCTTATTTATACTTTTAAAAAATAAAGAACGACAAAATATGATACCATTAAGATGAGTGAGTGATGTTTTGTCAGCTAATGAATGAGTATTACGACCAAAAAGCAAATATCTTTTTGCATTTAACTTAAATTGTAATACTAGTTCCTATTAAACCTATAACTGTGAATCAGATTTACCATAAAACTAACCAAGGAACTAAAGTTCTTGCAAGAAGAACTGTTACAAATGTTTTATAAAACCTGTTCCTCCAACAGACTGAACAGGATACTGAGTTTGACATCCATTTTAAACTTTTTGAAAATGCCTGTTGTTTTTGTTTGTTATTGTCTAAAAATATATCTTTTCATCAATGATGTACAGACTAAAGTGACGACACTGATGTATGACTCTCTATCTCCTCAACAGAAAAACACAAGTGACAATGACAGTCAGTTTTCTGTGACCAAGTTGAAATGATTTCACACACGGATCACTAAGATTAGCATAGAGAATGAACATGCCCATGAACCAGACCAACCTTGCAACCTGCTAAAACATAATAGTCCGCTTATATGGCGCTCATATCCAGTCACATTGCCTGCTTACAATGCTACGTACTTGTGGTTGTCCGACTAATTGAAATAATCGAAGATTGGTCGCAATGACTAAACGACCAAGCAATCGATCATGTTTTCTCATAATCGAACACAAACAATTTTGGAACATTTGTTTGCATTAGCAATATTTTTCACAAGGTTGGTTTTGTCTGTTACATTTCAAAAGCACTACAACTTGTACAAGCTCGTTCCAAGTCAGGATTGAATTTACCTTAAAGACTCAAGGAAATTTATGTTCCTAGCATGCTTGTCATCTTTTAAAGATGTGAAATTTGCAAATGCATTTTGTGCAATTTTCTAAAAAAACCTCGTAAGAACTACATGTTTTTTCTTTATTTTTGTGCATTAACAAACAAAACCAGGAAAATTTGATAAATGACGTTAACCAATTATTTTCGATGATTGATCGGTTGTTATGAATCAATCATCAATTATGAGATTTTAACCAATTTCCAACACTACTACGTACATTACTATCCCCGGTCATAGGACACTATCATACTTTCCAATACTTTTTCAACTCCCTGGGGATCATACAGCCATGCTGCCTATTAGGCGCAATGAACTAAACACTCACATTGCCAGCACATCCTCACGGGTACCCATTTTACAGCTGGGTGAACTGAGACAATGTGGATCTAAGTATCTTGTCCAAGGATACTACGTAAATAATAAAACTTTTTTATAACAAACCAGCCCCAAATTGTCTCCCCAAGTGATACTGAATCCTATTAAAGGCTCTCTTAAAAACACCATTGTGATTCCAAATTCCATTTGGGCACAGGATTCCATTTTTTTGCAGGTGCCATACTGTCACAGTGTCAGATTTGTTGGTAAAGCCAGCTGGGGTCACAACTGCTTCAGTCCCATCTCTTCACACTCCAAATCTCCAGTGAGGCTAAAAGAGGTTACGTGTTGAACTCAAATTCAATATGAAATATCTGTAGCTTATGGAAGAAATAAAATAAATTCTTTTTCCACCCAGTTTAGACAGAAGTCATAAGAAACATAATTTCTTAAATTAATTGAAACATTTTTAACGGGATGAACCTTGGATGAAGCACCAAGTCACCTATCGCTTTCAGACAACGTGCTCCAGTGGACGTTCTGGGCTCAGTGTTGTAGCAGTATCTCCATCACATTGATGCTGTCACTACACATCAAATCATGGGAAAGGGGTCAACACACATTGAGCCATCTCATCTAAGGAGAAGGAGCACTGGTTCAATCTCCTCTAGTTTGCTGGATCAAATCATCATGACAGACCCTGTATAACCATCCATGGATGCAACGATTGATGACACGCTGACAAAGATCCAAAATACTGTTCTATTTACAGACAGATATTACGTTATTTGAACCATTATCTGTGACACTATCGTGACATTGTTACACACGTCTTCACTAACAGCGTCACCCTAGGATCTCAGCTGTGTTGTTGTGCAACAGGACAACAGGACCGGGACAACAGGACCGGCACAACTCAGACATGAATAAAGCATAGGCATCAACGTTTTTAGTTACAGTGGAAACCTGATAAGTAAAATTTCAAGGGACTCGCCAAAATTGTTTACTTATCAGGTATTTTACTTAACCAAACTTATAAAAACCTGCAAATGACAACCATGGGCATGTATATGTATGCATATGTAACAATGAACCACTTATCAGGGATGGCCTCCAGTTGTCAGTGTATTGCCAACTGCTTGACGCCAGCGAGCTGTAAGTAGGATGTTTGTTTAACTGGAGACTGATACGACTACCCCTCATGTCGGATTATGTGGTGATCGCTAATTTAGTTATCAAGTATCTTTTGTTAAGTAATTTACTTCCAGGGACCGTGAGAAGACGTTTAGTTAAGCGGTATTGTTTACTTATCCGAGTTTAGTTAACCGGACTGTAATAGTGATAACTTATAAAGAAATTTGACGGGACCAAAGAAAAGTGTTTTCTTATCAGAACTGTTTAGTTAAGCAGTTTTTACTTAGGCGGTTTCCACTGTATAATAATAGTTAAATAGTCAAACAGCAATCTAATATGATCATAAAGATGCTAAATCAAAATTCTTGAAAGAATCTACTCGAAATATAAGCAGCAAGTATCATTGGTCCATTGTCAAATGTAAAAAACAATATCATCCTAACTAAAATTAATTATTAAAAGAACCAAATCTAATAAGAACGTGGAGCAATAAGTATCACGTGATATTGTTTTGTTGACACTCTTTGACAATGTGGTGCATAAACAAGAGAGGTGTTCTCATCGACATTACTAACAGACCATCGTCCTGCACTGTAGGCCTCTACAGAATATATCCTGTCTTACACTACCAGGGTCTGTGGGCATGTATGCAGCATTTGGCCTTTGACCCATGCCCTTTTGTAATTATATGACAGAACCAACATATTGAACTTTGTTGACATGTCACCAAAGGAACAAGTCATGGTAAACACCCAAACATTGCTGACAAGCCAACAGAATACAGAGGAATGTCCATAATTGAACAAATGATCTTGTTAACATGATCTTGGGACCTGTCACCCTACAGCCAAGATCTCTCTTCTAATCAACAACCTGCTTCACCCCCTTAAGCCAAGCGAGTCAACTTTGCTCTTTAATAACGGACTTCCTCTGCCGTGGTGCTAAAAGAATTACTCGCTGATCCAGAATCATTTGTCATTTTGTTTGACAAGCTTAATAAATATTTCAAGTCATTCGAAATCGTTCATAAACAAGCATTCATGTGACATTTAATCCTTGAAACTCAAGTTGTTTTAGCTGAAAGGTAAAGTTAAAATGGGCAATGCTTTGAATTGAAGTCTTTCATCAAGCAGACATGAAATATGACCTCTTGTGTTTTCGTACTTTCACAAAGATTACAACTTGTCGTACATGATACATCATTATCAAATAGAGCATTTCATTAATGACTAGCTACGTGTACCTGAAACTCTCACCTGAAGCTTTTACGTAGTCCAACAGGTGTGACCGAAATCCGAGGCACAAACAGTTGACTTGGTCTCTTGTCATGGCCAGCCATTTCTCCAGTGGATAAAAAGCGAATTCGACGTCCCCTTCCCCACCGTGGATGGGCAAAGGTTGAATCTTCGTAGGTTATCAAATCCTGAAAATACGAAGATTTGTAACTGACGACAGATGTTGGTGATATATTGACGGCAATCAATACCGACTGAGCACTGAGAGCCTACCTCTCGCAGCCACAACAGGGATGTAGGAAGTACGTTCCTGTCGTAGACGTTCAGATATGATATGTATTTACAGGTAGAATAAGTAATCCAATTAGGCACCGCGTCGTCAAGTTGTGCCGCCACTGAGAGAATGACATTGATTTTTCATACAGACACAGTTCAATGATACCACGATTAATATCGCCGGTATTCCTTTCTGGTTCTCTTTGAAAACACGACCCTCCGGTGCTATGAAATATTAAAACGAAACGAAGGTGAAACTTTCGTCGACACAGAGAGTCACAGAATATTAACTTTTGCAACTGTGATGAGTCCACTTATCCTAGGCCTCGAATCAAGTAACATGTTTATCTTAGTCAAGTCTTCAAAATGACAGAGGGCTGATGACCCTTCTGCGACTACTGGTCGTCTGCTCGACCACTGCTTCCATTCACCCCCAAATAGGTTAAACCAAATGGGTTCAGTGTCTCTTATAATCCCGCGTGAATTGCCAAGAGACAGTGAAGCAGACGACAATGGTCGTGTCATCAGATGGCACTGGCGAGAAGCCGTCTGCCTCAGTCATGCAGACTCGTACCTGGGGGCGGGGAAATAGAGAAAAACGGGATTTAGCTCATAAACCCATTGCAACATTGGTCAATTTGGCACGAATCTCTACCGTTGCTTAATACAGATTCTATGAACGAGGTATTTCTAGTCTGACGAGAGAAATGGATCAAGTGTTGCGTTTTTTTCCACGAAGCTCTTTGTGTGCAATCGGGTGGATTAATAAAAGTGATTGTCAGGTCTTGTAGGATTGCATTCTCGTTGGTTTCACGTTATTACCGTAAATGGTAGAAGAAATAAGTTTGCGAAGTTGACGTTTGTGGAAGCCAATAAGCTAAGGAAAGTGGGATCGATCAACAAAGGAACTGAAGCTGTTAATGATAGCTGTGGGCACCGACCACCTAGCGGACTTCAATCACATACAAGCAGCACGAGCCACCTGCAAGACACGGAATCACCGACTCCACGTAGAATCTGGTAATTACGCATCTGTAGATAGCGCGTACAATGATGACGATTGATACGAACGGAAAGCTCTGATTTATCCTGTCAAATATCTGTCTGTCGATTTTAAGCCAACAGCTATTTCTAAACGATGACGACAGCCAGTGCTGTTGTTTAAATTGATAATGAATGTTGTCGTTTCGTGATTATAGATAACAAGGTCGTTTGTCAACAATGATCCGTGTTTCCATTCCAGGAAAGTAATAGTCTTCTACGAACAAACATAGCACTGTCTCATTATGAGCAGCGCACGGAACGAGACTCTAGCACGGTATACTGTGTCGGTATTTTCTACAATAGCCATGAACACTGTCAACCGAATCAACCGACTACACCATCGTCCTCCCTGAATGAATGAGATGATCTGGCGCTTGAACAGCCTTTGATTTTGCATAACGTCATCTAAACTGCCATCCAAAGAAAATACACACCCATTTATGGCACTAGCAGACAATGAAGGGAACAAGAAAGGTTCTTCGATGGACAGATTTGATACATTGTGTTTTGGACATTGTGTTTTCAACCTAGGTTTGGTTTGTTGTTTAACGCCGCACTCAACAATGTTCCAGCTATATAGCGGCGGTCTGTAAATAATCGAGTTTGGACCAGACAATCCAGTGATCAACAGCATGAGCATCGATCTACGCAAGTGGGATACGATGGCATTTGTTAACCAAGTCACTATTATTATTATTCCAGTTATATCAGGGTGTGACAGCTTGGATTAAAGCCATACAATGATACCGGCCTTTGAAGGTTACCTCTTTGGTGAACTCAGCGAGGATGGGTAAGGATTGGCAGACCAAGAAACATATTCTGCGTGAACCGGAATTCGAACCAACGGTCATGGGTGTCTGGCGTGCCAAGGGACGCAACTCTGCACAGCAAATTGCCACGCCTCAGAAAACTGGGTCACCCGAGCTCCTTTCTCAGAAGCAGGTTCACGAAAATCAAACTCCGCTAAAGCGTGTCGTCTCATGCCGACGGTATGGTTCATTTGCGACACAATGAACTATCGCAGATTCGTCTTGTCAAGGAGCTATGGCAGTGTGAGTGAGTGAGTTAAAATAAGTGTTTACTTCGTAAATACTGGACTCTTTGGGCATTCTGGGTTGGAAAGGATCTCTGCACCCCATGCTTGTCGTAAAAAGCGATTAAATAGATGGATGCTCGTTGACTTGGTTGATTTTGAATCCCGGTAACCTCGAACGCTTCATCTTATATAGTCCCTGAATAAATATAATTTGATTGTAACAAATAAACCCATTAAACTTGAAAAGGTGCCCCAGTGAGAACCTGCAGAAATCTAAACTTGCTTCATTTAAGGCTTTAGCATTGCAGGGAGAGCAAGGCAGTAGGGGAAATATTGTGGTTCAGGGACTGTGAAACAGACTTCATGTAATAGAAATCACTGGTTTGTCTGGTCCAAATTCAATTATGTGGTTCAGGGACTGTGAAACAGACTTCATCTAATAGAAATCACTGGTTTGTCTGGTCCAAATTCAATTATTCTATTCATTCTGTTACTGTTGTTGTTATGTGGTCCAGGGACTGTGAAACAGACTTCTGTTCTGTTGTTAATAGAAATCATCTAATAGAAATCACTGGTTTGTCTGGTCCAAATTCAATTATTCTATTCATTCTGTTACTGTTGTTATGCAGACAAGAAACACTGCCCCTAGCCTTAGACTAACACCTAGTTTCTGAATATACATGTACATAATTTTGATAGAAACAAATGCTTTCAAATTGAAAAGGAGCCCCAGTGAGATAGGAGATTCAGAACCTGAAGCTGGGGAAATCTAGACTTGCTCCATTAAGGGCTTTAGCGTTCAGAAAGGGATAGGCAGAGGGGGGAAATAACGCCGTTCATGGACTGTGAGACAGACTACCACCAGTATATACTCTAGTCAGTCCAGCTGCATTGTCAGTTCAGAACAAATATACCACTAAGAGTTTGAAAAGGATGGACACCAGGGGGTTATATTAAGTAAAGACCATCACGTGTAGTGACGTGTATTCACGATATGACATGGAGTGGAATCAAGCCCGTTCTATACTAATGGTATAATCACTCCTCCTTGCAGCCAGTCACACGGACAGATCTCATTTAGTTGATGGGTATGATGATTTAGTGGCCGAGCGTTTGAAAGGGGTTCGAAGAAATAATTAGTACCGTTTCCACCATGAGTGACGGAAATTAATGAAACGTAACACCAAGGGACGCTGGGTGAACCATCACTGATGTACTGATATAGTGAGTCCACCAAGAAGGTTGCGTTTTGAACAGCAATTACATGCTGCCATATCACAGAAAACTAGGAATCACAGAAAACCGGGAATCACGGAAAACCAGGAATGAGGCCCACTAGTTACCATACGTCATGCAGAAAAGCCGTCCCGATTCCCAGTGTAAACCGACTTAAAGAAGGAGCACATGAAGGGTCATTTGGGGCCCATTGTCTCATTTTTGCCCTTTCGTCCTTTAGATTTGCCTGTATCCATTGTGCGTGGTTCGAATCCCAGATTCGTCCTGATTATGATTCTTGGTTTGTCGGTACCATATCCGCGCTCATGGGTTTGAAGGAAGAGCTTGGTGTTTCTAAGATATTCATGCAGAAAGGAGACCGATTAGATTGACTGAGTTTGGTTTTACGCCGCAGCAATATTCCAGCAAATCACGACGGGGACACCAGAAATGGGCTTCACACATTGTGCCCATGTGGGGATTCGAACCCGGGTCTTCGGCGTGACGAGCCAACGCTTTAACCACTAGGCTACCCCACCGCCCCGCGATTAGAAGTGTAAACAAAAGACACGCGGAGGCTTATATGGGACCTGTTCTTAGGGTCCCGTTGTCGTCTCTACGACGGTCAGTTGCCAGTATAATTCGATTTCACGTGGTACGCGGATGACTTAGCGCTAACGTGCTGCATGGCGAGAGCACACACACACACACACACACACACACACACCACCCACCACACACACACACACACACACACACACACCTAATGTTCCGATTCTGAGCGACTTGTAGGATTCGAACCTTGACCAACAGCTTAATAGGATGACTCTCCCGTCGGACTCTTCCGGTACGAGCCGACCCACAAGCATAAGGTAATAGAGACCTGGGGGACTCGAACGCGGACCTGCATGACGAACGCGTTGCCCCTCACCCGGTACAAACCGTAACAAATCCCAGCGTGTGCTGAACCCTTCGTTCGCGTTAACATTTGAGTGCATGTGTGTATGTAGATGCTAGCTCACGTAGGCCCTGGGATTGTAGGTCGGTGTAATACAAGCTACACAAACCTGGGCCGGTACACAGACGGCTGCCTAAATATAAAGACTGAATACCATATTACAAACGACAACATCTCACATTTACACATTCATAGATTCAGTTGACCGACACACGCAAGTCAAACAACATGCTTTTTCCTCACACTAACGGTGGGACTGTTGAACTCCGATATGTATGAATGAGTTATATCGGTGGTTATATGTCGTTCCCAAACCCTCTACCACTACTTACGTCAGTTTTCACATGCAGTGCTCTCAGGTTCTTCATCTCACCCAACGACGCCAGACGAAGCAGACGACGTCGTCTCAGACTGGACATCGCTGACGGCGAAGCCTCTGCAGATTCCTGGTCCTTCTCCGACATATTCAAGGCATCCATGGCGTAGAATTTGGGGAGGGCGGTTTTCGAGCTGTGAGGTGAAGCAGACGACAATCTAGGGCGAGAAAACAGCTTGAATCTCACAGGCTAGTGTTGTGTTATTATTAAATGTCCCCTATCGTATCCGCTTCGCGCCCCACTGCACAGCGTACAGAACATCTAAGGTCATGCGTGTCAAGCACGCGCACATATATGAGGCTTCCGCGAGCAACCTCATGAAATCCTTCTGTGTTTGTAAACACAACCAGAAGTGAAAGTGACGTATCGGAAACAACCCTTCTGCTAACGAACAACCTGTTACACTTCAAACGTGATGATAGGCGAACTAAACTATCCACAATATGGTCTGTGTACATCCACCTACATGCAGGTCAAATATGTCCTCCAGACATCCAGGAACCTTGTGCTCAAGAAGTTTCTCTTTCGTTGAAATTAAATGTATGTTTTTCTAATTCAATCTGCTTGAAACTTGATGGAATCTGAGCCTGATGAAAACACTCCCACAGCTCTAATATTTTTACATCCTTAACTTAAAAAAAAAATATCTCAGACTGACAAAGAAATAACTATTTCAACCTTGGCATCGACTCTACCCGTTTTTATCCTTGTTTTAGAATCTGCAGCACATTAAATATGTGTTTGCGAAATGCTTATCTGAGGAGAGATTACAAGAGAATCTAATTAAACTACATGCACGAGACACTATACGCAATAATATACTACAACCATTTCTTAAAGTTGTCTTCTTTTAAAAGCCAAGTCAGTTTGTTTGCGGTTATGTAATTTTATTTCAAACGGACCCGATACCAAACCAGCTGGACCGTCATTTGTGAGATGTGTCTGGCTCCTAAAATAGTGGTTCGAATCCCAGATTCGTTTGGATTATATTCTTGGTTTGCCTGCCCCAAATCGGTGTAGTTATAGATCTACACCTCTTCGGATTTTCCCAACCATATGTTTTATTTTTCTAAATACTCGTGAAGGTCCGGGTTAGAATGAACCTTCAGTAACCCATGCTTGTCGTAAGAAGCGACTCGATTATTTACAGACCGCCGTCATATAGCTAGAATATTGCTGAGTGCAGCGTAAAACTAAACTCACTCAATCACTTATTTTTCTAAATAACCCTAACCCTAACCCTGTTACAAAAATCGTTCACTTAGGCTCTGAAAATTATTAGTGTGGTTCGTAACAGATATTAGGTAAATCGTCCATGTAATACCCTCCCCCATATGACTGTGGCTTGACAATTACAAATATCATATCCTCCAAGATACAGACAAGTGATGGAGCACCGGTTTTTGCTCAAGGGAACCCTTCGTGTCGACAAAGCTGTCAGGTCCTCATCTCTCAATGTTGAAACCGTGTTTTCAGGAACTGCACTTAAAGAAGTCTTTTGGTAACGCTGAACGTGAATTAAAAGCCCCGAAGTCCCACATCCTCATATAGTATCACTTATGTATTATAGCCCAAGGGAAATGTCAAAATTAAGATTTACATCGACGAGTGCTAAATACCTTTTTCCTTGCCAGTGTATGTCCATTCAAATACTCTAACACTGATTTCAAGACCTTTCCGCGCACAATGCCAACAAACACCATGTGCCCACCTGTCATCAGGCACCAACATGGCACATGGAGAACGATTCCTAAAGCTCTACTAATCCCATACCAAATCATGACTGACCAATTCCATAGCGGTCATGTTGGTCTAAGTTGGAATCCTTCAATCTTTCTCCTTGTCTACGCCACACTCAGTGTCACGCACAGCGATGTTTGAAGTACAGGCAGTATATCAATTCAGCTGTAAAAAGTGCTGGAGCCCAGCCCTGGCCTGTGTAATGGACGTGATCTTCAGAAAAAACCCAAACAAATGTGCCTGTCTGTGATATTGGGTCAGTGGATTGCGAATACTTGACCCCCCTGACACCTCACAAACACGATCACGCTACTGGCGTTTCGCAGGTCGTTTCTGAGCGTGGTGGCAGTCATGAAGTGATGACGTCTTGTGACTATCAGGGGAAACATATCTTCTCGCTGTGTGATGTAGCGCTGTCGACCACTTGCATACCGCTAGTTAGGTCATGCAAACGTCCATGCCCTACTGATCACAGTTTGGCTGGCAACGTGACGTTTCATGCATGACTTTGCATCTGCCAAATTCTTCGGTTGTCAAACGAGTTGGACGGCGAGGGTCACCAGTCCATTCAAACTGTTGTAATCTTCATTGGCAAACGTTGTTGTGCTCTCTCATAATGACGTGTAAGATTCTATCACAATACATCCAAACACAGGTTTTCAAGAACATCGTGCATATCGTGCCCATGACTGCAATGCCACTGTATGTTCATCATGACACTGAGGCCCTACATGGGTCACCCAATCATTCTGAACTGGCATATTTCAATCCTTTTTTGTCGTTGATATTTTTATATCAACTTGATCCTTAGCAAGCTTTGAGTAATATAAGATAATCTCAAAAGTTGCAATCCTACTGGAAAACAATGGTTTGTGTCACATATATTTTTCTGACAATGGAATATTTCCTCGAAACAGTCTATATGTGCTGTCTTGTCCCACACGTCACCGTGGACGGCTTTCAAGGAGCAACGTTAGCTTGATTATGGAGAATATCTACAGCATTCACTATACACAGCCAATGGTGTTTTTCGATTCACTGACAATGTCAAATTGTACATCTGTAATTTGAAGTTTGAAACATTGCTGTGAAAATTATCAGACAGATCCGAAGGTTGGGAACTATTCCAAGATGAATTTTGTAATATATATTTATTTGTACTGATTATGTCAGCATTTCCTAAGGACAAAACGTGGATGAAAGACGCAGTTAAGCTCATAATATTTCATAATTGTTCCACGAAAGCGATTAAAATATGCCCTTTGGGAACATATTGGCCTCACCTATGTTTTGTGCTATAATGACGAAAGAGCCCCTCAGCGTATGAGTGCACTGGCATTCAATTCGCGAGTTTCACAAAACAGAGATAACACGCACTGATATCCTACTGCTTAGTGGCAAAGAACCGTCTTAGTGTTTAGTTAGCTATTCTCTGAAATCTGTTTTTATGACGTGTCAAGCAGTTTTGGTGATGTGTCACCCTCTCTCGGGACACCATATCATTATACAGACGTGACCCATTGTGGATGACAGTTGACTTAACGCCACATCTACTGGAATGTTGGACGCGGTGACCCCGAAAGTCGGAGATATGGATGAGTGAAAGTGTGAGAGGTGCGTCTTAACCTGGATTTGATGACTTTGTCACTGCTTAAATAATTCCGTGCATTAAGTTTTGATGTATGTGATAAGTGTTTTCAAAAGCGGCAGGAAGTCAATCAGGCGTGCCGGAGTTTTAAGATTCGCAGTGATTGTGACATTTGGTTGGATCATTACTGTGATCCCGGGTGTCATCAAAATGGTAAAAGTCTCAGATCTAAGGCCGTTATTTCTCACTAAAGCACTTGCCAATCTCTGTAAAATTAGATATTGGTTCTTGTTTCCTGCGAAACAAACATCTGAGAACATCCCATTATAGATCATGACCTTTCGCGAACTTTGGCCGACTAATATAATCACTGACAAGAAATCGACATTATTAGCCAATCAAAACCAGCTTCCTCGAGTAATAGGGCAACTATACCTAAAAAATTAGAATATTCTGGAATGTCTAAGAGATGGCAAAGGTTATATGGCAGTACGTTTCCGTTCCAAAGTTTGTGCCAAGGAAACAAAATATACACGAGAACGTAAAGTCGTTCGGAATATCCCGTATTCACCTTTTCGAGGCTGCGAGAACAGAAAACGTATTCCGACTGTTCTGTTCTTGACCGGTAAGCGGCGCGTTGATTGGTCGGGTAAAGGGTCGTTTTGCCGTGACCTGCTGAGTGGTGTCCTCGGATGTTTGATATGCGGTAGAGAGAACTAAAGTCTGTTTTAATATCCACAACAGCTATCTGCTCTTTCATTTCACTGGGTTTTATTTCGCATTACTACTAATTAGAAATAAATAAATTGTTTTGGGCATCTGCATTAGTCCCACGTGCAATTCAGTGTATGTTGGTCGGTTCATCTCATCAGAGACTATATAACAGATCTATCACATGGTCACTGATCCTATGTGGGCCAGTATGTGATTTCGCTCACCGCATTCTTTTCTACTCCGTACTCACTCACTCGTTTATCCAAATTTCCTCCATTTCAGCTTACTACTAGTACAATGTTTATCAGATCGACGGGGCGGTGGGGTAGCCTAGTGGTTAAAGCGTTTGTTCGTCACGCTGAAGACCCGGGTTCGATTCCCCACATTGGTACAATGTGAGAAGCCCATGTCTGGTGTCCCCCGCCATGATGTTGCTGGAATATTGCTAAAAGTGGCGTAAAACTAAATTCACTCACTCAGTCACATTACCAGATCGACACCCCTTGTGTTCATGGAGCCTAAATCTGTTACCCGATAACAAAATATAAAGACCTAACTGCCATCTTAACGACGTCCAGAGGACATGTCTTGTAAATGTTAGATGTATTGTGTGTGAACCCTACAATTATGCATTTATACTGCCTGGTACAGGGACACTCGATCCCAGATGACGCTGTGTGAGATATCTAACTGTACCTGGACACGGCTTGTCTCCCGTTGGGATTCCGTGAAATATTAGTGAGTGAGTGAGGGTGTTGGGTATCACGACGGAGAACTCCACAAAGAGGCTTCACACATTGTGCACATGTGGGGAATCGAACCCGGGTCTTCGGTGTGACGGGTGAACACTTTAACCACTAGGCTGAGTCCCCGTGAAACAGAAGTTAATAGTAGTCCATTGGAATGTTTATGAATAAATACTTGATCTCGTGGCTATATGGCTGAGGTGAGGTGAGGTGAAATCGGGTTTAACGTCGTGCTTGAGAATATTTCGCTCATATGACGGCATGTTTATGAATAAATGCGCGGCTGATTGTACTAGCCCAGACTTAAGCTGGTTTTATAGTGCTAGCCGCTATATGGCTGAAATAATGCCGATGCGACCCCAACTCAACTCAACTCAACTAATAGTAGTCCAGCATCCGAATAGATCCACAGTATCTCATATTTACCGTTGGGAAGAAATATAACGAACAAATGGTGATTGCAATATTTGACATAACTACTTGAACGCGCATCGTTGGTCATGCTGTCGATCACTGGTTTGCCAAGCCAGACTCATGACAGGACCCCGAGACGCAATCACTCCATCAGGTCTGCCTAACCTGTATCCATGTCACATAGGTCTGGGAATAGCATCATCAGTATCTCATCATTTGAGCTACAAAAAGGAACCGGATATTTTGACCATATTTATTTAGATTCCATCACAAGCACGTGTCCCCTTTCTCGCAGCTTC